TTATTACAGGGCTGACTGAATGGCCCCTTATTACCAGCCTGTCAACCTGTAAAAGTCTGCCTTGTGGGATTAATAAAGCTTGATTTCATTTGAAATGACTGAGTGGGTCTCCCATATCTCTGGAGACAGTGGGTGGTAATATCCATCGTTTGCTCTCCCACTCAGGCATTTCATCTTTTTATACATCTGCCTCCTTCAGTGTTTTCAATAGACACGTGAGGATCTGCTTCACACAAAAAATGCTGTTCTATGTAGATTTCCTTAAGGAAAACTGTCCTACACACCATCTTTGTCATCTGCCGTGTCTGAAGAATCCTGAGATTCTTTTGATTCCAGTGGAGCAATTCTATTATACTGGAGATCAACACAGTAGCTCATTTTTGTTACATAAAAAACCTACTAAGCCAAAGAAAAGTGGCTTTCTTCCATTAGTATATGAATCATGGAGCTTGTCAGCAGTCCACTGGTTTAGCTCCAGTTAAACAATACTGAGAGATTGTGTAAGAGGGTGATTCCCACCCCCATCTATATACACTATGGAGCGCTGCCAGTGCTTCATCAACTCCCTACAGAAAGCCTGAAACATGGATGATCATATAGACACTCTGGCTCACTGTACACAAGTAAAGCCTGGGACAAATGAAACATGCTCCAAAATAACATTCCCCTTATTCTGTTAGTGTCAGTTTTCCATCTAAAAAGAAGTAGAATTAATGAGCAATGGAAGAGATTATATCAGAAGTTCCCTCTATCCTGATGAATCATGCAGCAGCTGAAAAACATACAAAAGGCTACTTTGCTCAGTAGGTTGTGCAGGAGTCCTTTAAGCCACTGTGAGCAGCGTTTAAGTGACTCATTTATACTAATTTACTCAATTGTTTATAATAGAGGCCCAAATATCAATCAATGTAAAGCCAAGATGATGAGTGAGAGATTTAAATGAATGTGTGAACAAAACAAACACATTCTGCTGTATTTTCAGCTTATTTTTCCCCATAGCTGTGAAAACACTGGCTGTGATGGTAATGGTCGAGAGCTTATGGCTGTGCTTTCTCATATATTAGTGGTGGAGCTGTTAAGTAGAGAAAGTTACAACATCTCTCTGAGGCCTAATAAGCTTCATCCTCCCATTAGTGATGGTGTACGGACAGTTCCTGTCAAACCTCGGTCCCCTCACTCTCACAGCTGATGAAATATCTGTTTCTGTCCCAGTGAGTCTCATGCAGAAGGCAAGTGCACGCTCAGATCTGCAGAGGCAAAGACAAACTTACTGCAATACGAAGCAGGGTCCCCTTTACAGCTGCCCATCGGTCTTGCCGGCGATCAATCACCAGGATGAACCCCACGCCTGTTGACGACAAGCTGGAACACACAAGGAGGAAACGTTTTCAGCACAAACTAAACAGAGATCTGTTGTGACCAGCTCGATGGTTCAAGGGTAAGAAAGTTAGCAGCACAGTGAATGTGGAGGATGTCATATCAGGTTTTTTGTTTTTTTTTACATGGAAACAGCCTGTACTACAACCAAACGACAGACAAGAAGGGAATTCTTGTAACACAAGAGCATTAAGAGGGGGAGAAAAATCCTCTATGGCACAGAAGTGAAGCCAAGTGCCTGTTCACAGATTTCAGTTTTGTTGTGCTGCTCTTTATCTTCTTAGACAGCTGGTGCCATCAATAAAAGGAGATACTGTGAAGCGCCTCCAGATTTCTTGGCCACCAGCCTCCAGCCCTCACTTCCCCCATTCCCCTGCTGTCCTTTGTGGTCCCAGTAGAAATGGGGAGGGGATGGGTAAACACTGACAACAACTACTGACAGCCGCACGTGCAGTTTACCAGCAGAATCCTATCTACACTACCTGAAACATGTGCATCCTGTTTCAGGTAGTGGTAAAGCACTGTCATTACCTTTCAAGCAGAAATATTCCAGTAAGCATCAAGTATTTGTTTTCACATCTTTCATTCTGCAACTAAAAAAGAGCGGTCCGTGTAACAATGAAGGCAAAATGAAAACACAGTAGAGGAGGCAGATCCCAGTGTGTTGTGCTGTTTGAAGCAGAGGCAGCCAAATGTTTAAGACCATTCCAGGATCCAGACTCTGCACCCCCTTCACTGCATCTGTGAGCTAACCAATGAGAGACGAGAGCTGCTGGAATAAGCCAACCAAACCAAGGGTGCATAGCAATGGGCAGCTTCAGTAGCCAATCAATGGATCAAAACAGATGTGAGTGAGGTTCTGAAGAGCATTTACAGTGTGCACCCAAAGCTTGCAGTATTAGTAAACCTATTCATGTCTGCCTCTCTAGTTAATGCTGTTGCTTACTGTATCATTTACATTACTCATGACACTTCTCACCATTTATTTTTGGCATTTCCTTCCCCTTTCATCTTTTCCTTTTTCTCCTCCTCTATCATCCTCACTTTTCACCCCTGCAGTTTCACACAGTCATTGCTTTACAACTCATGTGCAGAGACATTTCAGACATTTATGACTCCTAAAATAAGAGGGTGGTTTATGCTGAACATCCACTGCCAGGGGATAGGAAATGTAATCATTTGGCCTATCAAGTAGTAGCACAACTTTAAAGTAAAGTATTAGCAGAAATTTGAAGGTAAATGTGAATAAGTGGATGTACAGTTTTTTATGTAGCTATAATTTTTTTTGCAAACACACAATTTCCCAACTACTGCAAAAACTACTCATTTAAATATTCATAGATATTTTCTGGTGCTTTGGGGGCTGTGCATCCATGAGTGTCCTTCTAATAATTGGATTTCTTATGACAAAGGGTACAGAAGCACCTCGAGCTGTAAGTCGAGCTGTGAAAAAGCTTTTGCCCAAAGCCACTGCAGTGATGGGATGAGTCTCCTGGTTTAGTGGATATACAACACATAACACGCATGGTACAGCTCCGGCCTCCTCTTGTCTTTTAACAGGGCAAAGAAATGTGCATCTGTGTTATATAATAAATAAGAAACAATCAAATTGTTAATTTGTGAATCTATAAGAAAGAAAATAAATTAAAATAAACTTTAATTTGGATTATGCTTATGAAAACAAGACCATTCGCCTGACTTCTAAGGGGGATTTTCTCGCAGTGATTGTATCCATGTTAATTTAATGTATTATGAAGTTGAAATGATTTTCTCTTGCAAAGACCAAATTAATATAGACTTAGATCAGAGACGGTGTGATTTCAGAGAAGTCATTTGGGCCTCTCTTTCTTTCTTTGGTCTTTCGTTATCAACAAAAATCTTACTGGGCGTTACTTGTAACGCGTTACTGTAATCTGATTACTTTTTAAAGTAACGAGTAAAGTAAGGGATTACTATCGCAAAAACGGTAATTAGATTACCGTTACATTCCTGTAGGAACGCTGCGTTACTGCGTTACTAAAACCGTGATTTTTTTGCGAGAATGTCTCATGGCAATGACGTAAGCGAGTGCGACGTTCGTGACAACAGCTGTGTGCAGATCAACAATGGATAATATATCGAGTACGGAGAGAGTATGAGCGTGCAGCGTTTAAAGCGTGGAAGTACTGACCTTACTTTGAGTTTGATTCCATAAAAAGTGACAAAAACATTAGTGTCCGTTGTGCGTGGGAAGAAAACTTCTTTTTACAGTGAAAAAAACCAGACAATAGGTTTAAATGTTAAACTAATTTCTTAGGCTCCAGCGCCCCCCGCGACCCTGAAAAGGAGAAGCGGAAGCGAATGGATGGATGGATGGATGGATTATGCAGAAAAAGAAGAATTGGGCTGAAAGATCTATCGCTTTATTACCTATTCAGGTTGTAAATCGTGTTTTTAAAAAGTAGTTAGTAACTAAGTAACTAAGTAATTAATTACTTTTGAAAATAAGTAATCAGTAAAGTAACAGGATTACTTTTTGGGGGAAGTAATTAGTAATTAGTTACTGATTACTTTTTTCAAGTAACTTGACCAACACTGCTCACATGTAACATTAGACATAACTATTAACAGTCATTGAATGGTCACATTAGAGTGAATCTGTCTGTGGAAGTACTGAGGTTTCATTTTATTTTCGGCATCAGTCTGCAAAGTGTGATATGAGGAAGACATTAAAAGTCATATATAAATTCTTCCGTACTTACTATAGTAATATGACAAATGTAGAATGTTCTGTTCACTGATTATCTCATTCTAAAAGTGAGAGTTCAATTTCCTCAGACCAGTTCTCAAGGTCTTTGCATGGTTTTTGAAGAATTACAAACTATAATTATTTGATGCTTTATACTGGTTTATTTAACATGATGCAAAACAATAACTTGTATTCAAATTGTCTGTGTCAACATAGTGTAACGAGATCTGGCTGAAGGACTGATGAAGTTATGTGATGGCAAAGTATCTGTTCATCCATACCTCTATAAGGCACAAGAACTGCTGTTCTACTTGGAAATATTAGCAGATTTCAGTGAAAGCTGGACATGGTGTTTATTTACTGGGTTTAAACCCAAAATGAGCCTAAGTCCAAGATCATATTTGCTGTTATATAGGCATTTTTTTCATTTTTTGCAAGGATTGGTAGGTCCCCTAGAGTAGTGGAACCACTGCAGACACTGGATGTGCCATATTAGAAATTCATACCAGAAGTGAGGAAAAACAAGGTCCAAATGTAAGTGACCTCATTTATATCTGGACCTTGCTGTGGACCTTCTGATGGAGATTGGCATTCCCAATTGTGCTTTGGTAAAAAAACGTAGTTATGCTTGTGTTGTGATGTGCATGTAGTAAAAAATGCTGTAAACTGGATTTCCTCCATGCAGTCCTTATTTATAAAGTACTCTGCAAACCCTAACATTACGGCCAACAAGTGGATTCTCCTGTTTCGGTGCAGCTAGCCAACGATAAAGAATCAGTTAGTGAAAAAGATAAAAATAAAGTAACCACCATAGAATGCTTTTTAGTTTTAGCTTCCTTGCTTTCCACTGAGTTATCGCTTCTTTCACCAGTTATTTTACATAAACTAATCCAAGTCTATTAGCAGCAACCAACCCACCAACCCTGTGACATCACATTCTGTACTGGCACAAGATGGTGCTATGCATTTGCTAAAACCTGCAGCTTTAAACACTTCACAGTCATAGACTGTTAAATCTATGACAATTCTTTTAAGAGTAGAGCTCCATGGTCTTAACCTTTATACGTAGTGTTTCATGTCCACTTTAAGTGTTCGTCATGGTCTAGAGAGTGCACCAGCTTAATGCCCCTCCCCCCACAGTCTGTCTGCTGACTGTATTCCCCAAGATACACAAACCATTTACGGGTTCATTTACTGAGTGTTGGCGGATGCAAAGAATAGAGTCAATTAATTAGATTCCTTCATTCACAAGACAAGACCCAAATTAGTTTAGTAGTCAACACATCCCAGCAACCAGCCAGTCAAGCATGCACACGTATGTATGTATGAGAGTATCAACATAAGAAATTATGTCTACAATTAATATCGATCCTCTGGTATTAATTTCAAACAAGCAGCAGCTGTCCAAGGTCAGAACAGACATTTGTCCCTGGATTCTGTGTGCCCCATTCGTGGTGTCAGTCCCTCAGGTATCTCCAGCCATCTGTCTGTGCATTCAGAACAGCTTGAGGCTGGCTCAGCACCATCTCACCCTGTGGCTGACCCTCACTCACTTGACAGAGTGACCAACAAGTAAGTGCATTACCTAAATTGTATCCAGTTAGGAAAATTAAGCCCATACTGAAATAAAGTTAGCCGAACATTGGCCAACTAACTCGGTATTTACTTCAAGTGATTAAAGCTCCACTGTTAAAGGAAGAAAAGCTGTGCTCTGACTAAAGGCCATTGCAGACACATGGATACAGAGACATGCCTCAGTGAGCAAGCGGCCATGTCACACACACGCACACACACAAACACACACACACATACACACACCTTTGGTTAGCTGTATGCATTATTCAGGTTCAACCCACTAGAATCACTGCTGGTTTCTATTTATACACAATGAGACATTTCAGGCAGAATGAAAGGAAGGCAGGACATACAAGATGATAAGCTAAATCAAAAAACATAAAAAATATAATGATTTAAAGAGCCAGGTGTTGATTATAAAATTAATTTGGAGAAACAGTCGCTCCTGCACATTTTTCCTCTTCTCTCGACATCTGCTCTGCCCATGTGAACAAAGACTGAACTGAAGAACACTTATAAAATAAAGTGTCCACAGGAATCCCAACTGGCCCACTTCTTTTATACCAAGCTATGAGGTAATTGAGTCTTCCTCTTTGAGCAAATCTAGAGTGAGGCCGTAATAAGTTAACTACTGCCACCTACTGGCAGACCTCATACACTCCTTCCAGTCCATCACTATCCTTCCTCTAGTTTTAGTTCAGATGATCTGCATGAAAACGTCCCTAGTTTGAACCACTTTCAAAGCCTTTCTATTTTATTACATAATATTTGATACTGTCTGGGCCACATGGTTTATCCATAAACCTGGACATGTTCATCAGCAGTACTTTGTTGCAATGACCGTAGAGAAACCAAGGGAAAGGTGGCACAGGGTGAGCGAGATGAGACTTTAATTAGAGGTGAAAAAGTTCAGACTTTACCTTGGGACGCTTGTCAGGTAGGTCAACACGTTGTGAAACTCCCTGTCTGTGATCTCCCCAAATGCAGGGAATTCTGGGAACACAATGATGGGGCTGCCATTATCTCCTCTTCCTCCTAAGAAAAGGAAAACAAGACACACTGAAACGTTCCAGATAAAATAGGGGGTTCTGTAAGAATGCTTTTTGTTTAATAGGACATAAGAATAGAGCGAAAAATGCAGTCACAAGGGGGCACTGATGTGAAGACTAGATTGTGATACTGGAGACTGGACAGAAAAAAATACTATATATTCACATAAAAAATATAGTCTTGTAGGCTCTCGTTCTCTTCAACAGACAATCGGCAAAAAGCCACAGGTTTCATGTAAATACATGTTTTCTCCAATACTGATCTCCAGCACATGATTTAAATGTTGCCTCAGGTTTGAGACTTTGAGACTCAGAGATCATTTACATGAAATAATGACAAAAAAGAAATATTTGATTGTTCTCACTCTCAATAAGACGATGACAAAAGATTACATAACAATTAAAGATGGAAGGATAGTAAAATAATAAAATGATATGAGACAGAGGGATGCTTCAGTGTTTGCACACAGTGAATAACGTTGACAACAACAGTCTCACCTCACTCACTCACACACACACACATGCGCGCGCATGCCTGTCCCTGTGCGAAACAGCTGCTCTGTCAGCGCTCATGACTAGAATATAAATCTCTGCCTTTTCGTCCCTCATCACTATAGCAACAGCAAGTGCATGGTCATGGTTTCAACGTCTGCTTAGATCTTTGTCTGCAAAATGTTTTCCCAATTCTGCCACAGCCACAAGGTCGCCTCTTGGACAGGATTTTTGTCGCTGTAGGACTTGCTGTAGCTTGAAATGTCTTTAAAATGATGCTAAAAATACACTTTTTTGGAGGTGAAAACACTGAACATGCGGAGGCAGTAAGTCCAAAACTTCCAAGTAACAGTATCAATGAGGCATGGGCCGTAACGTGATAAACCGTGAAGAGGAAACCGATAGAGGGGAAATTTGAATGGCAAATTAAAGCTGTCCTGTTCAGCTGAATTATGAAAAATTTAAGAGGAGTGCTGATCATTGAAAAATAGCAAACAAAATGACAAATAACCCAGATCTGGTGAAGCAGACAGACAAAACAAAAAGGAAGACAAAAAAAAAAGACATGGCAATTTGACCTGAAAGGAAGGCAAACTTCTTTTGGAGGTCAGGAGTGATGTCAGCAGCGCGGAGAGGACAGCTGTCCAGCTGCATGATCTCATCTGGAGAAAAAAAAAGTTACAAAATTATAAGTAGCAATACATCTGAACCGAATACACAAAGTTTAGCAAAGTCTGACAGATTAATTTCAGGATTGTTTAGACTGTCATGGTTCTAAAAATTTGTCTACCATCTCTACACATAATTCATTAATGAAACAGTATATTGTGGTGCATTTTCATATATACTTCATTTCACCAAAACGCAGGTTACTTTTGCTGTAAACAAACAGTACTGATATGTTAACAGGCTTTGTCAACAGCTCTTGATCTGCCCATGTGCTCGCCTCATACAGATTAAATTAATCAGATTAAAGGTCATTCCCCCAGTTGGAAATAGAGATTGTAATTATACTGGGGATCAAACTAGAGGTTAGGGAGCCTCGTAGGCTAGACAAGCTGTAACGTAATATGCAGAAGTGGAAGGAGATTTTAATCACGCAACAGACAACTTTCCAAAATAATCTTCACCACAAAGCACAGAGAAACAGATTAAATACATATTGAAAAAGCTTTACAGATCCCAGTTTCTGAGCTTTTAACCCTCATGAATATGTATTAAAAGGGACTAAAAACATACTTTATGTCCTCGGTTGGCCTCTCACTACAGTTTGAGTAATCAACTCTTAAATTAACATGTTACTTTCTGCTGAACTATTCTGGTTGCATCACATAAGAGTTTCTGTGTTCTTTTCAACACTTCTCAATGATTTGAAGCAGAAGGAGCTCAACAGGGAAACTTACTTTGGTACACCAGTTAGGACTGGGCAATCATGAATTAAGAATCTGGCTGAAGTGGCAGGGTCGCTTACTGGTGTTGGCACAGGCTGCTGTGATGAAGAGGGCAAAACTCTAGCAACACTTACAGCTGATTTAGACTACTGCGGTGAATGCTGTAGGGGTTATGACTGCCTGGTATTTTATATGCAATGGAAACTATACAATAAAAACTGCCCAGAGCTCAACTTGAAACTGATGGTCATACATTATATACATACAATAAAAAAATGAACATCACTCACTCCCACTGTTAAGACATGTAAACTAAGCCACCTCCACAGCATCCATAAAAAAGCTGGATCCATACTGTAATCCATACATACCATCCACATGTTTCTATATCAAAGATCTAAACAAGCTCTGTGAGCTTTGTTGTGTTTTATTAAAAAACCTTTTTATTGGTTTTGAGCAGGGAAAACAAGCAGAGAAAATGTGGCACTGCTGTAATGAACTCTGTGCCATTTTCTATGATGCTGAGATGTGTTTTATGTGACGAGCTCAATAATATAAGTGTTACACTTGCCCCAGTGTACCAGTCCATCTGTCACCCTGTCATTAACTTTCTACCGTTACATTTAAGCTTCAGATTTATTCTTAGTGCTGTTTGGCTGCAGAAGTTTCACCTTCGCTCATATAAAACCCAAGAAGCTGGAGCTTCTGCTCCCTCACCTCCATCAGCACAGGCATTATTCCTGTGTTACTTTTGCAGTTGTGTTTATTATTTATTAATTATGAGTTGAGTAGAAAGTTAGTGGCAATCCTTTTTTCAGTCATGGTTCAATTAATCTGGGGAAGAAGCTTAAATCAGATGTGTGGTTGTTTCTGGGTTTTCTTTCTCTTGCAGCAGCATTCTGGCATCTTTTACATCAGGTTCTTTTGAGCCATGGATTTAAGGTCCATAATGATACCTAATAATTTAATTTAAAAACAGAACATGGACAAATCTGAAGCACCACTCTATTTAGTTCCTACAGAAACATTCATGCTCACTAATCTATCCAGGAACAGAAATCTGTATTATATTGAGCCAAAAGAGAGACAGAACATTTATTTGTGCCATCAAGTTTCCAGGAGGGGAGCTTCCTGTAAATATGGATGTGAGCACATCCACAGACATACTGCTTAACATAAGACTGAAGAGCAATATTGACTTTTGGTATCAGTCTGACTTTGTTTGCTTCATTTTCCTAAAGCAAATAATCCACACTGGATTCACATGTTATTGTTTCACTGTATCAAAAGTGTTATTTTATTCCCTCATCATTATGATCTTTTCTTTGAAAAGGACATTAGTGGGGCCTCTGTGGATCGGGCTTGCTCTGGCACATCTCCTGGTTGCTTGACTGCGTTGGGATCTGTAAAGTCTGCAAGCCCAGGCTCTTGTTTATTTTGTGATGTGGCAGTGTCCTGACTGGAGACTGCCACTGGTCTGATGCGCTATATCTGCAGTCGGTCATTGGTTTTAATGTTGTGGCTATACTGCAAGCTGTTATGCTTCTTTTGATATCTATAGCAAGAGTCCACAAACATACATAAGGAAGGGGGTGCCTAACAAATATACGCATGGAAATTATCAGAACTTAAGAGAGACAACATAACAGTAAATTAAATGGTTTGTTAAGCTCATCCTAGCAAACTCAAGACTTGGTAAGCTGACAAACATTAGACTCTAGACTCTACATGCACACACGAAACATTCAGAAGAAACCCAATGTATAGAGAACGTCTTGATGCATTCTCAATCATCCAGGAAAATAAATCTCCAAATATATAGAGAAATATACAGAAAAGTCAGACGAATAAAGAGTCTGTCCCCAGAACCATACCTGTGTCCATGATATTCGCCAGAACAAAGCACAGACAAGATATGACCTGGTGCTTTCAGTCCATCATACAGTAATCCTCACTGTCAACCATAGTGTTCCCTTCTTTGCTGTGCATTTTAGGTGACTAACACCCTCCCTTTATGCAAACACTTCTCTTAGTGTAGCTTAAACAAACCAAAGTCTTAGTCTCACTCTTTGTTTGACAACAGGTCATATCAGGTTACTTGGCCTTTGGGTATTACCACCATCATAAACAGAGAGTTAGTGTAGTGGGAAACAAAAACATGTCACTCTCTTCCCTTTTCAAACAAAGCAACACACACATATACACTGTTTAGTGATAGGACTCATTTAAATGCGCCGTCTTCGTCTGTCCTTTGAATCTGTTTTGCTCCCAGCTGTTGGCAGGGAAGCCCGAGGACTATTGTAACATTTATTGAGAAAAGGAACATATATATGTACACTAACTAGCAGTGCAATAGGTGTTTCCTTTTTTACTAATAAGGACAAGACTGCAATATTCTTTTTAATCCAAGAAGTCAGACTGCTATAAATAGCTCCCTTGGTGTGTACAAACATGATCGGTGCGATAGTGGCTCAAGAGTTAGGAGTTTGTTTTGTAATCAGAAAGTTGCCGGTTCGAGCCCCGGCTCAGACAGTCTCGGTCATTGTGTCCCTGGGCAAGACACTTCACCTACTGGTGATGGCCAGAGGGGCTGACGGCGTGATATGGCAACCTCACTTCTGTCACAGCTGTAGCTTGCCTCCACCAGTGAGTGAATGAATAGTGGAATTCTAAAGCGCTATATAAATGAAATTTATTATTATTATATAAAAAAGTCATCACGCAACTATATCTCAAAAAGAAGCTATCTTTGAGGTAATCACATTGCTGCAATTGTATCTAATGATATAGCTTAAATACTTTAAAATTTGTTTAAATGTTGGGTATTGCAGGATGTGCCAAAGCCTACAAAGACTTGAAAAACCTGGAAGCTATTCTAGCGGTAATTCGATTTTAAGTCTACATATTAAATAAAAGTACAGGTGACTTAAATGTATGATAGTGCTTTGATGAAACAAGTTTCTAACGGATTTCATGTTAGTATTGACAACAGATATGGCAGATGGCATAACAGATCTTGATAAAATAACATAATAAGATCATGTAAACATGTTGATATATTCATTTAAAAGCATCCGAAGTAAAATAGATGATATGTATTTATTTATTTCTCACATGCTTCACCTGTATATGTCATGCATATACCTGCAAACTGTTGCTTTCTTTTTCTCCTGTCCATATGTAAGCTAATATTGTTTTAACACATTAAAAAAAACACTATTTTACACAAAACATGCTTTTTCATAGTGTAGTGGAATATGTCCTTTTAAAGAAAACAACAATAATAACAATAAACTGTTACAATTGCCCCCAATAGATTGTCCCAGCCAGGGGGAGCCGATGGCGTGTAGCGTGAAAAGGAGACGAAACTGCATTTCAAACAAAAAGCGAGCCGTTTATTCAGGCTGATTAAACCTGAGTACAAAAGGCAAAAGGCGAATAGGGGCAAAAACTGAACTAAAACCTAAACTCGGGAAACTAAACTGTGGTTACTATGATTAAACTATGATAACTATGACTACAGACAGGAACATGATTCTGAGCAGGAACATGCAAATAACCGTGATGAAAAACCATGAACTGAGCAAAATCATGAAAAACTCTTAACCTGACGTGACACAGAAAGAATTAACACAGACGACCTGACACTGAACAAAGAAAGACAGTGGACTTAAATACATACAGGAGGTGATCAGGGGAAGTGGAAACACATGAGGAAACAGCTGACACAAATGAACATAGCGACGTTACAGGGAGGAGTAAAATGAAACACATTGAACAAAGAAACACAAGACAAACAGGAAAAAAAAAAGTGAAACATGTGACATAACACCGGCTAGACAACATGAAGCACACAGACAAGAAATTCATGAGAGTAACACAGAAGACTTAGGAGAAACATAAACGAAACTAAACTCAAGGCAAACACATGATAATCCTAGATCTTAACATCCTTTCAATATAACATTATAAATCACAAATGCAAAAATAAACACAAAATTCTGGGTCACAGACCCAGCCACAACAGTACATTAAAATCCTGGATTCTAGTTACAAACACCTATGTTATAATGGGCTGTTGATGTAAATTTTTAACACAGGGATAGAACTGATGTAAGTTTGAATTCACAGTCATCCAAACTTTAGACAGCAGAAGAAAAATGCTTCATATCCAAAACATCATATAACTTCATTATATCCAAACCAGCTTTGTCCTTGAGAATTTCTGCAGAAGTTAAGCAACTGTGTAGTCTTTCCATAAGCAGAGAGAG